CACTTACAATGTGATTGGTCAGCATGCATAACACCAAATAAGATATAGACTTTTGAAACCCAAACCACAATAATCACCACTCATCATATACAACACACAAATGTGATCTAAAATCTCCACTCTTAGAAAAGAAAAAAAGGCTAGAAATGGCAAGTGTAAATGCAATATCAGCTCTCATTACTCTCAATATCATCATCTTCTTCACTTGTGTTTCCGTCACGGCCAATCCGTGCCCGCCAGCTGGAAACCCGACTAACACCTCCGGCAAGTGTCCGGTTGATACCCTTAAGTTGGGCATATGTGGCGATTGGGTAGGACTCGTTCACGAGGTCGTGGGAACAAAACCGAGCAGCGAATGTTGTGAGCTTTTGAAGGGCTTAGCCGATTTTGAAGCCGCATTGTGCCTTTGTACAGAGATTAAGGCTAACGTGCTCGGGATTGCGAAAGTTAAGGTCCCGATTGCTTTGAGCCTCGCGGTTAATTCGTGCGGAAAGAAAGTGCCACGAGATTTTGTTTGTTCTTGATTAAGGTTATATTAATAATGTTGAAATGTTTTTTGTTTTATGATGTTTGTTTGTTGCTTGTAATTTGTATGTTGATGAAATTGAATTAATGTGACATTGTTTAAGAAATGGTAATCTCTCATCTAGTGCATGGTTCTATTTGTTAAAGAATTTTAGATAATATGTATCTACCTTTTTGCGAAAAGTATAAGGTAGATACAAATATTCGTTGAGTTTTTTCAAACAAGATGTCTTTGGTTGATATTTATATTTGAGTACGAGTATTTTCTTGTTGTATGACTAAGGAATTGATCAAAGTGGGTCAAAAGAAAATGGTTTTAAGAAACTAGTTAACCAGTGGTTTCTTGACTTATTACTTGCAGTCATGGACTTTAATATTTCAATTTACCTATAGAAAATGATATTATTTAGTTCACATATAATGATTTTAAGTTCTAAAAAACTAGGTAAGTTGGCTTATTATTTGCAGTCATGTACATACTTTTATAGTCACACATCATACTATAAAATATAATACAGAGTATGGATTCTTAATATATAAAAGTATGATTGCATAATAGTCGACACGCCTAACAACATTTATGAACCAAAAGAACACTTATTTCATATCATATAAAAGGACA